TTGTTATGTTTGGAGCAATTGTGATGGATGAGGCATATGCTCGGTGTGGAAAGAGTATGACGTCGCCATGCGATTTGCAGATGGGGAGGGAGGCAAGCTACTGTGTGTGTCTGATTTCTTAATTTACACTATAGAGTGAATTCTTCACACAATGTCAAGTTTTTAACTTGCATGTACTGGAGTATTTACTCCATCTATTAAAATGTTACGCTTCTCAGGGAAAAAATGTCTTCTGCTGAGCCATCGAATTCCATGCCGTCCCCTAAAGAACGCCTGGCACTGTCAGGTCTCCAGGTTTGTGTGCATTTCTGACCCCTAAGGCTCCGGGGTCCTTCTGTCCTTCTGCTCCAGATCCAATTCTGCTCACCGGCAGAGTCCCGTCCTGCACCATCAGTTCTGAGCGTCCCTGGGCATTTATTGATTGAAGAGGATGCCTCCGAGGGGTCCCTCTGCCAGACGGCAGGCTGCAGACGGCCGGGGAAGGGCTGCTTCTCCTTTGTCTCAGCGCCTCCATCCGCACTCCTCAGAGCTCCCTGCGTTCAGAAGCACTCCTTCAATGATGACTTCTTATAAACGGAGGATTGGCTCTAAAAAGGAGAGCATGGCTGAGGATATAGGAAGACTGTCTTTGTGCCTGGAAGGCAGAACCCAGACCTGCTCCATCTCCATTCCTCCATCCCATTCTCCGTCCTCAGCACACTAATGTCTTCTCTATTTCCAGCTCCGCCCACAAGTTTGTGGTCTGTGAAAACAGAACACAGCGAGTCCCTTTCCCCCCACTTTCTCCTTACACCCGTTCCTACTCAAGCACTCCGTCATGTTCTAATCCTGTCCCGTGTCTCCCAAGATTCCCTGACACGATGTTGGTGATGCCAAGCTCTGACGCCGGACGTCGTAGGAAAAGAGCATGGAAACGCCCTGCCCTGTCACAGGTGTACTCGGTGTCCCCGCCCCAGATTTAGGCGTGTGTCTGTGTGTGAGCTGCTCTCCTTCAGCCACAGATGCAGAGCCCACTTTGAAAGAAGTGTATATGTGTGATTTTTCTTGTCTGTGTTTTTGGGGTTTTTTTTTTGGTTTTTTTTAGAAAGAAATCTCCATTCCAACGAAGAAGCAAGCATCAAGGCCCTTTCTGCTGGGATTTCATTCACCTGTTTGTTATGATGGAGCTTTCTGTGAGCCGGGGAAGGGAGGGGAACGTGGGCTGGAGAGATGAGGGTAAAAGAGAAACAGCGATGCTGTCTGATGCGCCCTGAGTCCAGGCGCGTGCCTCATCCTCCCATGAACTCAGTGGCTCCTCTCTGGCACAGCCACGGGCTGAGATTTACACAGGTGCCAACAATCAAGCCTTTGAAACTTGATATTTGTTTTCCAAAGCCGTTTATCCCATTGTCTACCCTGATGCCATTTGAGTGAGAATTTGGAAAATTTGAGTTTAGAGAACGGTTTCCTCATCCCCGGCCAGAGCCATCTGGAGCTCACAGCAGTTAGAAACAAAACGAGGCCCGCTGATGGCTTGGTGCAGACCCGCGGGCAGATCTGCAGCCGGCATCCCTGGCTGGTCCACGTTCTGTTCTTCCCTGCGTCCTTCTCTTCCAAGAGCAAGGCCCATCTGGCTACTCCCTCTGCGGCCACGTGGCCAGAAACCTTAAGGAACTGCTTTCCATCAAAGCGGATCTGAGCTGCTGGGCTCAGGGCGAGGGAGTCAGAGTGCCCTGAAGGTGCCTTCAGCTTAAATTGACACCGTTTCTCCAAGAAGAGTGAGTCTGGGAGTTCAGTGGCCAAGAATGTAAAGACAGCTCTGCCCAGAGCTCTGTCCGGCTGCGCCGGGAGTGAAGCAGCATTAGAAACCAGCGCGCTGGGCCCCGCTGAGGTCAGACGCGAGCTGAGCGTGGAGTCTGCCGGGCCCCAGACAGCGAGGGCAAAATCTGACCTCTGAACCCTTGGGGTGCTTCTGCTCCACCAAATAAACTCCATCACACGCCTGAACTATTGTGACAGGAGGCCTGTTTTCAGCTTGGCTCCCCAAATTCCACAGTAAAACTCCCCGGTGCTTGTCTGGGGCAAAGGTGAAGGCGGTGGGGGGGAGACTCAGCTGCACCCTGACGTGGCCAAGTTTATCGCCTGTCTGTCAGGATCCTCCATGAGACTAAGAGGAGGCAGGCAATTCATTTGCGGGGGCTGGGGGGGTGCGTTTTCCCCAATTCGGGGTTCCGGTGTGGAGGCCGTGGCGTCCAGGAAAGCAAGCACAGAAATGCTTGTGTGTGTCCCCCTACAGCTGGTGGGTTTGTTTTTGCAAGTGTCCGTCGATTCTTGGATTCTCAGAGAGGTCTGTAGGCCCAACTAGGTTAAGAACCGTCACCGTGTCCTGCCTTATTTCATGGCCCCTGTTATGAGGGACAGACAGCCTGAAAGTAGGGGTCCAGGAGTGGGAGGTGAAGCCCAGCTGTTGCCAAATTCCCTGAATAAAGAAAGTGGTACCAACCACACTGGTTCCCTCCTGAATGACACCATCGCCCTCTGCTCTCCAGCACACCCGCTCCGGCATCGTTTATTCCATTCGCGGTACCCAGTGTATCTCAAAACAAGCTTCCCTCTGCCGCACTGCTCCCTCCCCAGAGGAGCAGGCTCAGTTCACGCATTTTTCTGTCCTGGAGACGCTCCTGACCTTACCCCTCATCCTGGGCAAAAGAACCTTGACCGAAATGATCCCTTGGGTACATCCCGTTCTAGTTTCCATGCGTAGCAGGACCTAAAGGGATTATTATAATCCAGGGCAATGCGAGGGCAGGAACAGGACTGAGATCACCGCGCCTACTTTACCTAAGCACCACACCTAAGGAGCAAGCTGTGAGCAGCCCCCAGCCCTGCGGCAGGGTGTGGTTCCCACGGTGCTGTCTCTCCCGTTTTGCTGATCCTCTAGGATGGCATGTAACTTCTCATCCAGGAGAAACACTAAACCAGGACAACAGGTGCAGACCAAGACCTCCCCAGGCAGACGGGGGCGTCAGGCAGACACGCCCCGCACAGGGACCCCTCCTTCTCTCACCTTCACCTGCACCTCCTGCCTCCTCCTGGCACCCTCCCAGCTAAGGAAGTGATGGGAGGAGATGCTTTGAAGCAGGAAGATAACCAATTCTAAGTTAAGAACTACCTGAAAAGACATCCAGATGGTCGACAGGCACATGAAAAGATGCTCAACATTGCTAATTATCAGAGAAATGCAGATCAAAACTACAATGAGGTTTCCCCTCACACCAGTCAGCCATCATCAAAAAGTCTACAAATAATAAATGCTGGAGAGAGTATGGAGAAAAGGGA